TGTATGGGAGGTAGATCTTTATCTCCCTCTTCCTACAGGCTGCTCCAAGGATGGATGGGGGGGAGCAACTAGCCTGGAGCATGCAGGTGCAGAAGATGTTGGCCATTGGATGGGGTAGGAAACAGCCCGGGGCAGGGAGCTGGACGGGTCCCCCATGAGCTCAGTGTGTTTTGGGCAGATTCCCTGCTGAGCTAGTGGTGAGACATGCCCACCACTGACAGGGCCCTGGGCTGGGGGTCCCCCTACCCCATCCCATTGACCCCTGGGGGGGTGCCTCCAATACAGTACTGATGTGGCTGCTGGGCCTTGCTGCCCTGCTGACAGTGACCATGAAGGCGTGGAACGATTACAGGTTGGAGCAACCACAGACAGGAGCTAAGAGGCTCCCCACCCTGCCTCCCAGGGAGCTGGACTTCCCATCCCAGGACAGATATCTAGATAGATGTGCATGGGGATGAATAGGTGGGGTGTGGGGTGTATGTAGATAGATATATAGCTATCCATAGATGGATTTGTATGGGGATGGACAAATAACTATGGTTGTAGATAGATGGATAAATGTGTATGAACATACATAAATAGACAGATGAATTAGATAGATGGAGGGAGGGGATGGATGAATAGGAGTATCTGGGGATGGATAATGCATGATGGATGTATAATGAATGTATAAGGGGAAAGATAGATGAGTCTCCACCAATAGAATCTTTGTTACAGTCACCAGCTGTTTTCTCCAGCTTGACTTTCCATGTGTTGTTTGTTGTTTGTGAAAAGATTATTTCCTGCCTGACCATAAAACAACAGTGCCTGAAATGCTGTCACTTAAGAGAAAGGAACAAAGCCCTGCTTGGTGTTGCTTTGCCCTCACCATTCCAGCCCAGCGCAGTCATTCCTTTTAGTGAGAGACAATTCCAGCCCTGAGGGGCCTGCCTCATTATCCTTTCACTATCTAGATTTTAATCCTGGTACTCACCAGCTGCCAAGAACATTCCAACCTGCTAGGCTCAGTCATCCCCGTGAATGAGCAGGGAGCAACAGGTGCAAAGGCCTTGTCCCATGCTTGTAAGTCTATTGCTAGGTTGTGTGTGCATGTGTATGCACACATGTATGTGTGGTGGGGACTGCACTCCATGCCAGTTAATGGGGTAGAATTCAATAAAGCTGTGAAGAATGTGAGCCATTCTAAAGGCTGGTGGGTAAACCTGTGGCTGATTTATGGAGCCTTCTTGGGTTGATCTAGACAAGTGTTTCTTAAACTTTTTAAGATGGAGGAACTCCAAACAATAATTTTTTTAATGAGAAACACCAAGGATTTTTTGTTGAGAGGAAAAAAAAAAAAGAGGCTGGGGAAAAGTTATTGAGGAAAAAAGGGTGGCTATTTTGAATTCTGTTGTTCTCCGCGGCACACCTCCGACTGCCTCGCGGCACACTGGTGTGCCACGGAACACAGTTTAAGAAACACTGAACTAGACCCAAGACTGGGAATGGATTCAGAGAATGGGTTCATAGATCCAAGGGGCACCGGTCATACACTCCTCAAATCTGACAGCTCACACTCCTACTGCGACATGGGCACGTCCCCTGATCCTGAATCCACAGACCCAAGAATCTTAACTTTTCACTAGGCCATTGAGCAAAGCTTGAATGATCTAAGTGGGCAAATAGTCTGCCCTTTCCTTTAGTCTGATTTCCCCCTACAGGTAAATCTGATGAGTCACCAATCCATTGAGCACCCATGAGCCAAAGGTTGGTCTGACTCCTGGTTGCTTGTCGGAGCTCAGGAATTCCCCCCCCGGGGTGCATGTGGTTGGGATGGGGGATGGGGGTTGGAGGAGGATCTCCAAAATTTGAAGGGGTGGAGGAAAAGGATGGGGGAACATAGGGAATTGCCAAACCCAAGGTCCATCTAGTTCAGTATTCTGTCTCCAACAATGGTTAGATCAGATGCCTGAGAGGAACATGCATAAACCCTGCAATAGGCAGATGTCAGATAATCTGTCCCCGCATAGAGTTCTCACCCTTCTCCCTAATGGTTAGATCTCAACTGATACCTCAAAGCTCAAGATTTAATATCCCTTTCAAACACTTTCTGATAACTAGTGATTCTCTGACTCCTTCTCCCTGGCTGGAGAGACCATCAAGGGCTTTGGACACGATCACCATTGGGTGCCCCCTCTTCCAGTGAAGAGCATAGTTTTCCCAATGAAGATAGGTTCGCATGACACAATGCTAGAACTTGGCCAGCATGACTCCTCCTTGGGCTCTGTGGTTGAACGGCTGCTCTGTCTCTGGTCATGAGAACTCAAGAGATACTCACACTGAGGTGCAGGAGCTGCTAGAGGCTCTTTAATGTGTCTCCCACAGCTCTTTGCAGCCTATGCTATTAAAACACAATGTGATTGTAATTATTAGCCACTCAAAGTTAACAACAAATCAGGATGCTTTTACTGTGTTATTAACCAGTTGTAGCTGGTAAAATAATACGCCGTGATTTTGCTGTGAGAATCTCATGTATTTGCCTTTTTATACTGTGTAAATGTGACTACGGTAAATGAAACAATGAATCCACATGCCTGTGGCTCTTCTGAGTTCTGTTGGTTACTAATTTGGCTCCTGGACCACTGAGGGTCTCAGTATTGCTGTGCTAACATATCCTGTGCACTGGATTTGCTGGGATTTCACCACATTTACAATTAACTGTTCTGATCCTGGATGTTCTTGTAATCTATGTATTACTGGTGCCTTCCAGAAATCTTGGGATTTCATGGACTTTAAGCCCAGAAGGGACCAACCATGTAGTCTGACCATCTGCACATCACTGCCCAGAGAAGTTCACCCACCTAATCCTGTGGTAAGCCTATAACCTCTGGCTGAGTTACTGAAGTCCTCAATTCTTGATTTAAAGACTCCACTTCATTAACCCTACCATTTACACTAGTTCAGATCAGGGGCTCTGGAACATGGGGATCCAGGGTCCTGGGGGGGAAGAGGCAGTATGGGAAGAGGACCAGGAAAGGGTTGATGTCAGGGGTAGCCTCAAGGGGACGGGCAGCATGGATGCAGGGTTTTGGGAGAAGAGGCAGCGTGCTAGAAATGCCTTGGGAAGGGGAAGTGCAGGGGCATGGATTCAAGGGGCAGGGCAGTCCGAGGCAAGTGGTAGGGACATTGTGTGGGCGCTGGTGGCCCCCCCATTTTTAGGGACCTTCCACCACTCTGAGTTCAAACCAGCAGGTGACACCTGCTGCAGAGGAGAGTGAAAACCCGCAGAGTGCCTGCCAATCTGCCCTAAGGGAAAATTCCTCCCAACCCCAAATATGGCAATAACTTGCCCCAGATATGGCACTTGCTTGTGGGCCAGACCCGACCTGCCCCCACTCCTTTAATTTTACATGTGTTTGGATATATTTGCCCAACTTTGCAGGCATAAACCAGGCAGCATGCTGGAAAATGTCACCTAGCTTCCCCCATACAGTTGCCATTGCTTATCAGTCCTGACTGTAGCCTGTGGGAAGTTTTCTAATGAAATGTTTTTTTGCTGGAAGATGCAGATTTGTCAAACCAAAAACTTGGAATGGGAAAAGAATTTCGGGGAATTGCTTGGTTTCAAAAATGTTGAGGAAAAAATATTTGAAATGTCCCACTTTGTCATTGTCCAAACAAAGAATTCTGGTGGTCTGCTGCTATTTTGCAAGGTAAAAAGTAATTTTGCGAGCTAAAAATGTGCTTTGGGTTAATTTAAAATGTTCAAAAATCTCAAAAATTCTGATGAGACTGGAAAAGTTTTCCGCACCCAGCTCTAGCCCTGACCTGCTGTAGCCTCTGTGTTCTTCCAGTCCAGTCCAGGACACCCCTCCAAATCTGCCAGTAACCCCCAAGACTGGCCTACAGCACCTCTGTCAAGCCAGCCATGCATAAGAACTTGCACAGTTCCATCCTTCATTAACAATGGGGAGTTCTGTGGCACCCTAGAGATTAACAGATTTATTAGGGCATAAGCTTCCAGCCTGTGTTGTCTGCCATGCATGCTGCATCTATGTGTGGACACTTTTGTAGCTTGTGACAGTTCCTACCACTGGTAGGTTTGTGAAGCACATCTGTGTGACATGGTGCTTCCTACAGTGTCTACACTAGAGTGTATAGTCTCTACCAATGCTTCCAGTATTGCATTCGCTGGAGGAACTGCAGTGGTGGTGATGGGGAGCGGATGGTAACATAAATTCCCTGCTGCATGGAAGCCCTGAACCTCATGCGAGAGAGACTCTCAAATCTCAGGCTAGGGTTGCCAGGTGTCTGGTTTTGAACTGGACAGTCCAGTATCTGAGCTTTCTGTTTGGGAAACAAATTGAGAAAATATAAATATCCGGTATTTTCTAAATCAGATGTAATGTAGATTGTGATGTAATGTCAAGTGTGTCCGGTATTTTTGTTGAAACCATCCGGCAGCCCTATCTCAGGCACCTGCCACTGCAAAACACCTTATTGACTATCTCTCCTCTGCTGTATCCTTTTATGTTCTGGGCACCTGCTGATAAAACAAAACTTCACTCGTGTCTTTGGAGCGCACAGTTCTGGGGGTGTAAATATGTAATAAATCCAGCAAAGCCAGTGGTTTTCCATAATGGGAGCCCTAAGCGATTGCTTAGTCAACTTATGTGTAGGGCCAGCTCTGAGTTTACCCCAGTGTAGCAGACCAGAAGCTGTCTGGATATTTGCATTTCCTTCTCTATGGGAGTTCATGAGGCTGCTGCCCCCCTCTGGTATTTCTGCCAGGTGCTCCTCCAAACATAACAGGGAGGAGATGGAAATGACCATGCTGAAAGCTTTTTGGAACAAGTCTGATGCATCTGATTGTCCCTCTCTGGCTTTGAAAGGGTTAATGAGCTGGAGGGAACAGGTGTTGGCTTGCCCTGTTGTAGCCACACCCCTCCAGCAGCCTGCAGCCAGTGGGTGCCCTAGGTATGAAATCCCCACCCCCTGATGGCATGGCATATAACTCTGCACACACCCCATTCTGCTCTCAGCCTCCAGAGCTCTTCCTTCAGTTTCTGTGCTTGCCCAGCCGGTGTTGTTTCTTGTCGTCCTCCACTTGCCTGTCCAAAATGTCTGTTCTCATAAACAAAAAAAGCTACAGGAGCACCTCCTCCACTGCCCCTCGCTCCTTCAGCAGCCTTTCTTACACAGCGGGGCCTGTGGGCAGCACCAAAATCAGCTCGTCCTTCTCCAGCTATGGTGGGAGCCGATTCGGAGCAGGCAGCTTCCGAGGACCATCCATGGGCTATGGAGCTGGTGCTGGAGGCAGCATCACTGCTGTCAATGTCAACCAGAGCCTGCTGGCACCCCTTAACCTGGAGATCGACCCCAGCATCCACCATGTGCGGACACAGGAGAAGGAGCAGATCAAGACTCTCAACAACAAATTTGCCTCCTTCATTGACAAGGTGAGTCCTAGCTCTGTTGAGGCGAAGCTGGCATCTGCAGAGCTGGGTTGGCAGGGACAGAAGTGGGTGTGTTCCTAGGGGATGGGCAAAAGTCAACCAGATTTGCCCAGTTGCTGTAACACTTATAGGCTGGAAGGAGCTAGTCCGGATTCCATGCTCAATTATGCCCCCATGCAACCCACAGTGACCCAAGTGAGGTATGGCTGTGTGTGCTGTAAACATCTCTGGGTAATCTGTCCACCAGGTAGCATATAAAGGGAGCAGTGACCTGCCAGCCAATATCTTTGCAATCAAGGGGAAATCGGAACAGATCTGAAGGGAGAGCAGAGCCTTCTGAGCCACTATTAAGCCAAAGGCTCCTCCTACAGGTGTATGAGAATGTGTAGAAAAATTTCCTCTGCTTGTCTTAGCTACAAATGTTTTTGGTCATGACACCAGCTGGCAGAGTGAAAATGCCCCTCTCCCGGTGGTGAGGGAATGGTATGGAGCTAGAGTGCCAATGTTCCCCATTGGGACACCTACCAATAGAGGCACCTGTGCTGTCATCAAATCATTGGCACTGGAGAGCAGCTAGAAAGCTAATGGGGAAGTTGCCTGTACCTGGGAAAATGTGCCATCTTTCAAAACACTGGTGTTAAAGGGTGTGACTGGGAGGGCCAGGATAGGATTCTCCATTGTCTAAAAGCTAACAACTGGGGGCGGAGGGGCTGATTCTAGGTGCCCAGCTTTCAGAGGTGCCAGGCACTGGCAGCTACAGGGGTCAGCACCTCTGGATACTCCAGAGCCTGATTTTCAGAAATGGAGGCACCCAAAATTGTGGGGCCTAAAATAAACACAGCTGGAGGAACTCCCGAGGTAATGGAGTTGGGGTGAGCCAGAGGAAACCAAATGACTCTTTTCCTCCTCATGCCCCAGCAATCTTGGCTGGAACAAGAGGTATCCGCTTTCCTGCCCTCTGCTCCCACCACCCCTTGCCTGCAGTAAAGGCCCGAGGGGCTGTATTGAGATTCCTTCTCTTCTTCCTTACTTCCAAGGCCCTAGGCTGTGTCCAGACTCAGGTTTTTTTTAAAAAAAGGAGCCTTTTTTCGAAAAAACTTCACTTGCGTCTAGACTACAGCCGCGTTCTTTCGAAATTAAATCGAAAGAACGTGGCTTTTCTTTCGACGGCGGTAAACCTCATTTCACGAGGAAGAACGCCTTCTTTCGAAAGTGCTCTTTCGAAAAAAGGCATTCTTGAATGCCAACAGGCTTTTTAGAAAGAGAGCATCCAGACTCACTCGCTGCTTTCTTTCGAAAAAGCAGCTCGCTTTTTCGAAAGCTCCGCTTGCAGTCTAGATGCTCTTTTTCGAAAGAGGCTTGCAGTCTAGACGTAGCCCTAGTGCATAGCCATAGCACACTGGTCCCAGTCCCTTTCCAGATTCCTGCTCTCTGGCCTAGCATGGTTTGTGGGAAGTTCAGTTTGAAGAGGGTGAGTGTTGCCCCCCCCCGCCTCTAACAGGGGCTTTTGCTTCAGAGGCTGGTGCCCTGGAAAAGAGGCAGCTGCATTCTTTCTGCCCTTTTTCAGCAAGGGTTGTGAACACACTTGGCTGGAGGCAATGCTTGTCTAATGGCTCTGTAACTGTCTAACCAGAACCCCCACTCCACCCATCACTGTTCTGTGGGGGATTGGATTTGAACAAGCAGGGTTTATTGCCTGTTAGCAAAGGCTGTGTTGACATCTCTCTTATCTAGGGCTGGGCCAACTGCCTTTCTCTGTCCCACCCTTCCAGGAGTCCAAGGGTCCCTGCTGTGCTTCAAGGTTCTTACCAATCCTCTTGTGCCCCCTAGTCCAGATCATGTAGGATTGCAGAGAACTCCTGTCCACAGGTGGAAATCCAGAATCCTTCATGGCAACAGCTGCTTCTCCCTCTTACTAATTTGATGCCATGGTTTCTCTTCTTACCAGCTTCAGTGATGTTCTCCTATTTCCCCTACCTTGGCCACAGGACTGCATCATGCCCTTTGCTTAGCCTCATGCTAAGCGGGACAGCTTTTTGCACATGCTCTGGCTCTAGCGGTGTCCATACTTCTCCATGGGGGCTGAATGCTTTGGCTAGTTAAACCCCTAGTCTCCCACTGGCAAAGCTCCCATGGACTTTAATGGCTCCATGTCTGCAAGTAAAGGCTAAAGACCCTTCTGCCCATCAGTAGGATTGTGGATCTATGGTCCAATGCCTGGGTAACCCATTGTGGGGCATTTGTGACCAGTTGCTCCCTTTTCCATGGCCATCGAAGAAGGTATGGGTTGTGACTGCTTTGGCTCTTAGGTCAAGCCACAGCTCCTTGCACTTTTAGCTCTGAAGGTTGTTGATTCAATCCCTCCTATATTGACTAAGATGGCAGCTGTCACACTCGCTCTGGGAAAACTCCTTTGCTGTGAAGGGGAGTTCCATCAGTGTCAATCCAGAGTGACTCCACTTATTTTATTGGCGTTTTTTCTCACTTACACTGAGTCTACTTTACACCTCCAGAGTAGGAAAAATGGGCCTTGGTGTAAATAAAAATGAGGCACTATTTACTTATGGCTGAATTCTGCCCTCTGTTATACTAGTGTTGATCCAGAATCACTCCACTGAAGTTAAGAGAGTGACTCTGGATTTACTTTGAGAGCAGAATTGGACTCACCAGGGAAAATCACTCCCTCTGGGTATGTCTACACTACCCCACTAGTTCGAACTAGCGGGGTAATGTAGACATACCGCACTTGCAAATGAAGCCCGGGATTTGAATTTCCCGGGCTTCATTTGCATAAACTGGGCGCCGCCATTTTTAAATCCCTGCTCGTTCGAACCCCGTGCCGCGCGGCTACACGCGGCACGAACTAGGTAGTTCGGACTAGGCTTCCTAGTCCGAACTACCGTTACTCCTCATTCCACGAGGAGTAACAGTAGTTCGGACTAGGAAGTCTAGTCCGAACTACCTAGTCTGTGCCGCGTGTAGCCGTGCGGCATGGGGTTCGAATGAGCAGGGATTTAAAAATGGCGGCGCACAGTTTATGCAAATGAAGCCCGGGAAATTCAAATCCCGGGCTTCATTTGCAAGTGCGGTATGCCTACATTACCCCGCTAGTTCGAACTAGTGGGGTAGTGTAGACATACCCTCTGATACCTGGACTCATCTCACAGTGCACACATACAAAGGCAGGATCAGTCCCTGTGGTCCAGAGTCACTTATATAAGAGGAACTTGAGTGCTTGCAGTGAAGCTACTTTGGATTTACATGAGTGGAGGGGGAGCAGAATCAGTTATTATAGGCCTGTTTGACTTTCCTTTTACACCTGATTCATTCCAGAAAACTCATGGGGAACACCATTGACTTCAGTGGAGATATTCCTGATTCATGTGGGTGAGAGAAGGATCCCCCCCAGTGGAAGACTAGTGGGGGATTTCAGGAGTATGAGTGGAAAGAAACCATCCCTGGCAGGCTGTAATTATCCTGGCAGGAAATTCCTGCCTCCCACATCCACGGCTGCTAAGCTCTGCAGATGTAATTGACAAACCTCTCTTCTCCTGCCCGCTCAGGTCCGTTTCCTGGAACAGCAGAATAAGATGCTGGAGACCAAGTGGGACCTGCTGCAGGGCCAGAAGACCACACGCAGCAACATCAACAGCCTGTTCGAGGCCTACATCAGCAACCTGCGCAGGCAGCTGGACGGCCTGGGCCAAGAGAAAATGAAGCTGGAGTCTGAGCTAGGCAACATGCAGGGCCTGGTGGAGGACTTCAAGAATAAGTGAGTGCAACCTAGAGCTGGGGGAGGCAAGCCCCAGCCCTGTCCCTTCTGCCTGAGACCCCACCCTTACTGCCCATGGCTGGCCCTTATAAGAGCCAAGCCCTCCCAATGTAAAAACAGCTCCCCCCAAGCATGGGTGACTCACTCCTCCTGAGCATGGGCGGTCCCTGGAGCACTTGTGGCACTGGGAAAGCTGGCAACACAGGGCTGTAGCCCAGGGCTGTAGCAGTGAGGGTCTGGGGGTGGAGAGTGGGTGGAGCCAGGCAGTTTGGGAAGGCATTGCCTTCCCCAGCCTCTTAGATCTGCTGCCCATGAGTGCAATTGAGGCAAAAGGGGAGTATGTGTCTTTGTGTGTGTATGTGTGGGGGGAAATAGCTTCCTGGGCTCTTCAAAAGGGGGCGGGATGTAGGAGGCAGGAATCTCCTACTGGGATAATTACAGCCTGCCACGGACAACTTCTTCCCACTCATGCTCCTGAAATCCCCTACCAGCCTCCCATTGTGTCCTGATCCTTCTCTCACCCGTGTGAATCGGTAGTGTTGCACAAGGAGGCTTTCAATGGCCGCATCTGTCACCAGCATACTGCCTCCTACAGGGCGTTCTTTGGATCTGGGCAGGTTATCAACATCTGCCTGACTTGTAGTCTGGGGAGGCTCTCAGCTGCTCTTGATGGGGGATGGTTGGGACTCTTTCTCCATCACTTTGGCTACATCTACACTGGCGGCTTCTTGCGCAAGAACAGGTGTTCTTGCGCAAAAACTTGCCGGGTGTCTACACTGCACGTGTGTTCTTGCGCAAGTAGATTTACAGTACAGCGGTGGAAAACAGGGCTTCTTCCAGAAGAGTTATTCCTCTCCCAATGAGGAATAAGCCCTCTAGCGCTAGAGCTCTTGCACAAAAGTGGGCAGTGTAGACAGGCAACATGAAATTCTTTCACAAGAAACCCCTATGGCTAAAATGGCCATCAGAGCTTTCTTGTGCAAGAGAGCATCCACACTGCCATAGACGTTCTGGGCAAAAGCACATGCCAGTGTAGACGTAATGCTCTCGTGGAAGACTTTTTGTGCGCAAGAAGCTGCCAGTGTAGACGTAGCCTCCATGTTTTGACACCACTTCCCAATCCGACCCCACCTTTGCAATAGGCAGTGAGCACAGGTTCCCAAACCCATGCTGTCCTTTATAAGGTCATTGATGGGTGCCTGCTAAGGGGTCTGCTTCCTGGCATCTCTTAGATGGGTCTCTATATCCTCTGATGGTTGCTGCTTCTTGGTAGCATCCCTCAGAGTGACCTCCTAGCTTCTTGCCCCAGCCCTGCCCCAGAACTGACAGGTTTCTCCCTCCCACAGGTATGAGGATGAAATCAACCGTCGCACTGAGAAGGAGAATGAGTTTGTCCTGCTAAAGAAGGTGAGTCCGTGCTGCTCCTGGATTCAGTGGAGTGCTTGGGCTGAGAGGGCTCAGGTGTCTCTTACAGGGTCTGTGCTCTGCTCCCATAGGATGTGGATGAGGCCTACATGAACAAGGTGGAGCTGGAGTCCCGGCTGGAAAGCCTAACTGACGAGATCAACTTCCTGAGGCATCTGTATGATGAGGTTGGTGATGTCCCCCTTTGGTTCAATGCTGCAGCACTGGTCCTTTCAATTCCTTCCTGACTGGTAGGGGGAATCCCACTGAAAAACAGAGTTTCTGCAAAGATGAAGACAAATGTCTTCCTGCAGGAGGTGAGGGATCTTTAAAGGGCTCCCAGGGTGCTCCCAGGGTGCATGGTGTTTGCTCCCAGGGTGCATGGTGACTCTCCCCATGCCTGGAGAGACAGGCCATATCCCCTGCATCATCTGCTGCTGCTCCCAGCCTTTAAGGTGGGAGATCACAGCCGTCTGCTGGCAACATCAGTTGCAGTGGGTTCAGTGGCTGGGTGGGTCTGGATTAGGGTTACCATTGGTCCTCCGATCCCTGTCCTGGTGGATTTTAGAACTAGGAACCTATGTCCATGATTTAGTTTTGCCACCCTTAATTCTGCACTGTCTTCAGAGCTGGGAGGCTGGAAAGCAGCAGCAGCAGCAGCAGCTGGCTGGGTTACCAACTCTGCAGGAAGTGACAGCACCCACAGAAGTGAGGGTGGCATGGTAGGGTATTGTCACCCTTACTTCTGTGCTGCTGCTCGTGACATGCTGCCTCCCCCTCCATTTAGCAGTGGTTCCTATTTGGGAACATGAAATACGGTAAGCCTAGCCCAGGCCAGGGTCTGGGAATTCCAGTGGGTGTTCCAAGTTCTCCATGCTCCGTAGTGACAAAGAACTCTTCTGCTCTTCCCATTCAGGAGCTGCGTGAGCTGCAGTCCCAGATCAATGACACCTCTGTGGTCCTGACCATTGACAACAACCGCAAGCTGGACCTGGATGGCATCATCGCAGAGGTCAGAGCGCAGTATGAGGAGGTTGCCAACAAGAGCCGGGCAGAAGCCGAGAACATGTATAAAATCAAGGTGAGGTGCCGGTCTTTCACTGGAGCTGCAGTCTCGTCTCTGAGTGTGCTGGCTGTCCTTGATGAGGGCAGGTCAGGGTGTGTGGTATTGCCCATGGGAATGTCTGTTGGGTGGCACCTGTTCCATTCCTCCCAGCTCGTGAGTTGAACATGCAAAGCCAGGGGAGCCGACAGCCTTGGACTACTGTCGGCTCCCCTGGCTTTGTATGGAAATTCCATCGACTACTCAACTAGTAAATTAACTGGTATTAAACATCCTTACTCTGGACTGCAGTGTGCCCCACCCCTGCAGTGCTCTGTTGGGTATTTACTGCTGCTGCGGCAACAGCACATGGTGAGAGCCCTGGGCCCTTTTTAATCACCAGGACCCAGGATAGCTGCCCCCCACTCTGTTGATGGGTCTGTGTGAAGCATCCTCTGCTTAGCAGGAGTTGCATATGCATGTGTAATTCTAAAATACAACCGGACTCACGGTATCCCTCTAGTGGCTCGTGTCACAGTTCACAGCAACTGCACCTGTGTTCCCCTCTGTGGTCCAGCAAGAACATCCACTCTTAAGCTCCTGGCTCTTCAGCCATCTCTTCTCCTGCCCCCCCAGCTCTATGCTGCCCATTCCCTGCACTGCCCCTGGACCCCAATCCCTCTGCCCCTCCTGTTCCCCACGTCCCATTCCCTATGCCCCCACCGCACCCTGCGTCCCTCTGGCTCTATGCCTCCCATTCCCCGCACCACCCCTTTAACCTCCCTCCACTGTTCCCTGTACCCCTCTGGCTCTGTGCTGTCCCCGCACCCTGTTTCCCCTGTGGGTCAGGAGTGAGGGGTGCCTGTCCATAGGGAGGGGCTGGACAGGGCAGGCAAAAGGCTGCTGTGATCCAGCAGCGAATGAAAGAAGGATTTCACTTGAAGCGCCTTTGCCTTTATGGAAAAAAACAAATGAAAATGCTATTTGCTATTTATAGGGCTAAAATGCTGGGACAAAAATGAAAACAAACAAAAAAAAACCCATTGCATAATGCAAACGTGTAAAAGACAACAAAAAGGGGGGGGGGTCAAAAATATTTTGCTTGGGGCAGCAAAAAACTTAGAGGGGACGGGGCTGGGCTGGACTGGACTGGACTGTGGGGAGGGGAGGAGAAAAATATGAGGAAGGGGCTTGTGCTCAGGGGAAGGGAGGGGAGCAGGTCAGGAGGAGAAGAAGAAGAAAGGGGAAGGCACCAAGGGACAGGAGTGCAGGAGACACAAATGCCAGGGGGCCAAGTGCAGACAATGAGGTAAAGGGCAGGAGGTGAGGTGTCAGTGGCAGGGGAGACAGGGTGATGCTGGGAGAGGAGAGAGTAAGGGCACTGGGGGCTAAAGGGGAGCAGGGGAGGAGCTGGGAGAAGGCTAGAAAGAAGGGGTGGGCATGAGGAAGGCAGGGATGGAACAAGTCATGTGTGAGGGCACAGGAGCATGAGGGGAATGGGGGCAGAGGGTGGTGAGGGGGAGGTGAGGTGTCAGTGGCAGGGGAGACAGGGTGATGCTGGGAGAGGAGAGAGTAAGGGCACTGGGGGCTAAAGGGGAGCAGGGGAGGAGCTGGGAGAAGGCTAGAAAGAAGGGGTGGGCATGAGGAAGGCAGGGATGGAACAAGTCATGTGTGAGGGCACAGGAGCATGAGGGGAATGGGGGCAGAGGGTGGTGAGGGGGTGG